AAAACACTCTGTCCGCTAAATAAAAACCAATCGATCGATCGATCGATCTATCGATTGATTTCACTATATTAGTGCCTTTAAATCTATAAACGACAAGTTCATTCCTGGGCTGTTATTGTTTTTTCTGGCGAAGGGAAGCGGTGAAATGAAAAAAGACCAAGCAACTGGCTGATGATGCAGCTGCTTATGATTTTACAATAAGTGGGTGTAATAGATGGATTAAAAGGATACTAAAGAGAAATATTAATAGCCAAATATAATTCCATTCAGAAATGGAAACTTGCTGCATTACAAAATGAGTCTCATTAAAGCTCGATCAGGCAGTGTCTCCCAGAACAAAGTCAGGTTTATCTTAATTGATCCGTATAGTACAGTAGCGGCGCACTAAAGTATTCACTGCCTTCACTATAAGATTCGAATAATCAAATGCATTTCTGCGTCTGAACGATGGACTGAAGTCAGTAAATCAGCAAAAGCACTGGTGGAAAAGACCTGTAAATATTAAATCGAACAGACGGCATTCTACAAATATTCGAAACAACAACCGCCTTTGATTTAAAGAAATATCCGCTATAGACAACTGAGAATAACTGCTTACGTAAAAATTTGTTCCTTGCTGTAGTCAGACCAGAATATTCGTCGCGATTTGTAGGAGTAGTCCAAGGCGACCACGAAGTCCAGACCGGATAGCAACGACATTGGGGTTAACGTGGATAAGTCAACGGCACGGATGCTGTCCCTGTTGGCGAATAACAGTTTTGCGTGGCTGCCTACAATACTCAACGTTCATCACGGTTCAGAACAGCGAACCCTCACAGCTACAGCGCTCAGGCATATGTACCCACCGGCAGCACGGCAGGTGCGCATGTCGAACAACAGCAAGTATCCAGTATGACATTTACAGCGATAGCTTCCGACCGTGTTGATGCAGATCTGCGAACAGACGCCGGGCTTCTTGCACTCGTCAATGTCTATAAACAAAGGAATATTTCTAAAACAAAAAACAAGATACACCTTAAAAATGCGCAAAATAAAGAGCAAAAACAATAGCATGGATAGATTCTGCTTTCACACGATTTAGAAAAACGTCCCAAAATTTATGGAGACCTTTACAATTTATGGACACCTTTGCTGCTACACATAATACTAAATTCCATGAAAAATAGAAACTAAATTTTTCACCGTGATAAACTCTGACAACTAACAACTAAAGTTACTGGTTGGGTCAGATGCTGTATGAATCAAAAAATGCATTGGTCGTTCAAGTGCAAGTTATACCACAAACTGTTCCACATCTTGATGCACATAGCAAAACAGCTAGAAACAGAAACAAATGAAAATGAAGTGAAAGAGGAAAATCTAAAGTAAAAAATAGGATGGAAAAGAAAAGGCAGAAAAAGATAAAGAATACGTAGGGAAATAAGAAGGAAGATTTGACAAGGAAGAAAAAGAATATAACAGGGAGGAACAAAAGGATGAAATGAAACAAAAGGGTGGAAAATAAAAGGAAAAAGATTCAGATGAAAAAACAGGATGAAAAAGAAAAGGGAGAAGTAGAACGAAAGAGAGAAGTTTAGCTAGTCCGAAAAAGAACAATCGATGGATTCCCTTACTCGTCCAAGAATGATTCGTACAAAGAATTTCCGCAACATCCACAGGAGGATGATTCCACCACAGTTTACAAACTACAGTCGGCGCGACACCTACTCTTGAAGATCGGAAGTATCACGCCTTTCTTCCAATTTTCAGCTATCATCGACTTTCGCCAGATGCTGTTAAGAGCCAGGTGACAAAGGTTTTCACTATGACACTTCAGGATTTCCGCAATAATTCCATCGTGTCCACGAACTTCCTGCTTCGACAAAGTTGCATCACCTCTCGGATTTCTTCGCTCGATTGTGGGGCGCAATCATCATAACATCCTTTCCAATTTTCTCTTCTATCTAGAGATTCACCGGAGGATCAAGCTGATTGAGCTGTGAAGTGGTCAGCCATTGTTTACGACGGTCGTCAACGCCCTACAACAGATCCTTAAACTTTCTGCATAACGGAAAGAGAGTAGGCTCATACTGCTACTGATGGTGATTATGTTTACATGACTACATCTTCCTGTCACCTTTCGACCCTGCGTTTTCTCGCTTCTGCGCTTGGAGGTCCAGCTACCGCTGCACATCCTTGCAACAGCGCTTGCTGACTTCATCGACGAGAAGGCGATATTTGATTTCTCAACGACGTCAGAGTTGCCACATTTCTTTGCAACTTAGCAACTTGACCCAGGGTTCCTTCGTAGCTCTGTTCCTGATCTAATAGTCGTTGCAACTGCAACGACGGTGCCTTCTATAACACGAGTTCAGAGCAACTCCTAGTCCTGGCAGCTCTCAGGGTCTAGAGCAGCGAATCTGTAGTCGATGTCCATCTGAAGCGCCTCGTAAGTGATAACTCCTTTAGCATGTCCATGTCAGAGCAGTCAGTCGTTCACCATTCTCCGAGACGTTCTTCCTGCAGTTGCAGTGCAGAGTTCTGCCACCACTACGAAATGATCAATTCGAATGACAGCATCTGATTTTGCTTCGAGGGTCATAGAAAGCACTTCGTTGTCTCTTATTAGCATATAATCAGCTTGGCTACGGGAGTCACCTCCTCACGTTTGCTGATCGAAGCGACGATGTAGAAACAGCGTCCCGCCGATGACTAGACCGTGCATTGCACAAAACATAACAGACAGTGACCGTTGCTTTTGGCAACACTGCTAAATTATCAACCTAACACGAGGGAAAGACAGTCAAGGTCGGCACCATCTTGGTCATTGTGGTCATGGGAGACGAAAAGATAACTGATGTCTGGGAAAGGCAGGAGTATAACTAGTTCTACTTCGGGTCCTTTGCAGCGTTTGTAGGGAGCATACATGGAGAGGAAGTATCACATCTTAATATGTCTTATTGTGAATCGGCGAACGATGGCACGGTCGCTCGTGCGCTCTATGAAGAATAAGAATAGATTTCGCCGTTGAAGAAGACAGCGAAACTGCAACTTTAGCCTCAGGGCGAGAGTCCTGGCTACCAAAACTATAGAAATGTCATCCTTCTTCAAGACGCTGACGTCCTCGGTCTTGTAAGTGGGTCTTTGAGAGCCTCAAAATGTCCAGTTTTTATCACTCTGTGCCGTGAGCGATGTCGTCAAGTTTATCATCACCGTTCAACATCCACACGTAGCTTTTGTAGGTCAGATGTTTGGTAGAATAGCCGGAAGGGTCCTGCAAATGTAAACAGCACATCGCAAGGCGTCAAACAGCACGTGGCGCAAAGAAATCAACATGCAATTGCTCAATGCCACGAAATTAATGGAAAATTCATGCAGAGATTAAACGCTTTATAAAGAGACTAGAAGCAAGGAGACGGTGCTGCCATGCTGTGCATAATGGCAAATGTGAGAGGAGATTTGAATTATAAACATATAACAATTTAAAGCAGCCTCATGCTTAACACATGGGTGTATCTTGACAAAAACCTCCATAATCAATGTTGTATTTTTTGAAAATTTATGGCGTATGTAGGAGGGGGTAAACTTTGCAGCGCGTTCCGGCAGCATCAGCAACAAAGATAAAAAACTAAGGGTACAAACCGATGCATTTAGACTTGTTGAGGGGCGAAATTTGGTAGCCGGCCGCGCAGAAACATTTTGGACCAAATATTGTGTTTCGGCATATCTGATCACATACGTGACCCCTGCGACAATAGTCTTCTACTTTCTGAGAGCAATTCAGAGCAGGGGACTCGTCGGCGGCGATAGTGCTCAAACAATCGGCCTTGCCGTCGCATACCTTCTCCCAAGGAATGCAAGTTCCGTCGCCGCAGTCAAACTCGTTCCTATCGGCACAGTCCTCAGAGACTGTCACTTCTGAAAGGAGGAAACGTGAGCAATGTCAGAGCAGCATAAAAATGAAAATAACACTAACTGATTTCACAATTCTGCTCGTCTGATCCGTCGCTGCAGTCAGTAACGTTGTTGCAGTGGTACACCCATGGAACGCACTTACCGTCAGACTTGCACGCAAATTCGGTGCAATTTTTGTGGCCTAAGTTTTCACGGTGGTGTAAACTGATCAACAACAGCAGAAAAATAAACTAGTTTACATCCCACTTCGTCGCTTCCATCGAGACAGTCGTCATCGCCATCACAGACAAAGTTCTGGTTGATGCAGAAACCGGTGCCGCAGCGGAACTCGTACGGCCGACACTCGGTCTGGTTGAAGACAGAGAATACAGCACTGCAGTTCGCCTCATCAGAGTGATCGAAGCAGTCCGGCTCACCGTCGCAAAGCCATAGACGAGGAATGCAGCGTTTGCTCTCGACGCACTGGAACATCCGTTCCGCGCAAGTGAAATCTGTAAAAGATATGCAATGAATCTTGTATTTTCAGCAAAGGCAAAGAATAGTGATCATATACCAGTCTTTAATGCAATATGCTTTACAAAAAAATGTACCGCTGAATCACCAATGATATTTTTATTATTAACTGTATTATATAATCCCCGCTATTTTCGCTAATTCGTTGTCTTTCCATCTGTTCTCCCCAGTTACTGAAATTGACTGCAATGTATTCTGACACGCCTTTGCTGAATCGAAGGCAATTTATCTCAGGGACTGGTTTTCATGCCTCAATTTTTGCTTTAACTGCTTGTGCATTCTCACTTCTCAAAACCACATCAAATGAAGTGAGCATGCAATTGAGGCAACTTAAACTTTCTGCACATGTTCAATTATCGCATCTGCCCGAATTTAGAACAGAAATGGGCTCAACGTCGAAACTTACCTGCGCCGAAATTCATCTGTTTTCCCGCATAACAATCGCTGTCACTCAATCGCAATCTCTTTCATAAGCCTAATGTATTTTTCCGGGAACATCGTCCGTCTCATGCTCCACCATACTGTTTGTGACAAAACAAACCTAATCAAATAATAGAAATTAGCTAGAGAATGTATGACTACTCCAAGACCAGACCAACCCAAGTAGATTAAGCAAAAAAAATTTTCTTTAATTTGTATGTTTAGTATTAACATATTGTGCAAACTACATGTGGTTTCCACTGATCATAAATATTCTGTAAGGATACACGATAGAGATGTTCGTGCTGAAACAGACGAATAACAGACATACGTACTTACTTAACGTGATGTCATAATAAGAGTGCCTAATGAAAAGAACAGATCTGATACAGTTCTTTCTACTTACATGATCAGTAATTAATAAAAAGCTGATCAATTACTGACTTTTTTTGGTGTCTTGAGGCCACGTCTGTTTAAAAACAACAGAACAAGTATTATGAGAAAGTAAGATTTTTATGTAATTTAGAAAATTATCATTTAGTGAGAACATCAGTTACTCAATCTAGCGTAAAAGACGCAGTGCTTCGTACATTTGCTCAATATGAGTTTTAGAGTAGATTGGCACAGTTACCCAAATGTCAAATATGGACAGTAAAATTAAATTAACAAAGACATACGAATCAGACTTGTTAAAGCGCCGGTGCTGATTTGGAAATGCATCAATTAAACTGTATAATAGAGTTTCATATCACGTAGAGAATACAACAATGGAAGAATGTGCTCCCAGCATAAAGTGGAAAAGAAAATTGCCAGTAATCGCAATACAGATGGATATTCTGAATTCCGCTGACGTCATCTGAATATCATTAGGTCGGAAAAGTGAAGATAGTATCAAGCTGTGCATTCACTGACTAGCAATTTGAGTTCGTATTATTTTACATATCATAACAACCTAGCAACATGATCAGGTAAGGTTAAAGAAGAAGAGTTACATATGCTAAGAACGGCTGAAAATTAAAAAAGTACGTACT